AATGCACAAGGGTCAGCCCCTTGCAGTGCATCAGTCTTCCGTGGACTGCTCGCACCCCACTTCCTGCTGCAGTGGAAGGGCCCCAGCCCATCCCGTGTAGGGTCTGAAATACAGACAGCTGCAGGCATGCCTGAGGGCCACTGACCCATGCGCTTGAGCAGAACAAATAAACACACACACACTGGGTCTAAAATAGGTAAAGGTCCTCCCATGCAAGGCAATCAGCCCTGCACAGGCTGTTTGGGCTCCCTACCTCCTCCCTACCTCCTCTAGGGTCCATCCTTATGTGACCAAGTAGGGACCAAATAGCTGCCTTTCCCAGCAGAGCTTGATAAATAGCACCTGGAGTTACTGTTATTTTACATCCAGGCTTTCTCCCCTTTCCCTCCAGGGGCCATACCTCCACTAACCAGTATTTCACAGCCTGTGTATCCTGGACACGCCCCATCCACCCAGACACTAAAGGGGTGTGGGTGTCGTGTAGAGTAGATCACAGTTCCCACCCATCTTGGGACACTTAACTTTCTAGTGTTTCAGGGTACAGGGTATCCACCTATAACGTGGAGCCTCATGCCACATTTGTGGGCCGTGGACTTCCTCTTGAACAGTGGCTGCCCCTCCCCCCACAACCTGTGCCATTTTTCGGGATTGTTACCTTGCGGAAATGGAGACAGTGGCAGCTAGACACTCAGTCTCTACGGCTCTGTCCATATCATGAAGCTCCAAGATCTGAATGTCCCCGTGGTGTAACTTTTAACTTCTTTTTAACTAAGAATTAGCTCAGAGGTAATTGCTTAAATCGCACCAATGAAAATCAATACGGAGTAAATTAAACGAAAAGCAAAATTTATCCTGAACGTGTTCCTTGTCGCCTTTGAATAATGCGATGACAAAGCAACTATTTTACCTCCCAGGCTTGGAGTCTTTGTTGTCGGACGTCTTGAACGGAGATGCAATTATAGGGCCCATTTATCAAAAAGATTAAGGAAATCGGGGAACGGGAATGGGTTTGCAACAGTTTTGCGGAAATTAGATCACCGTGACTCTTAGGTCTGCGTTTTTCATGCCTGGTCGGGAAAGTTTCTCGGATTGCGCTATTTTCTGGCCTCCCTCCCAGCCCCGCAAATCAACAGCGAGGCACAAGGCTGACCCAGAGGGAGTGTCGGAGAGCAGAAGGCCAGAGAAAGACCCTGCGTCCCATCCTCAGGTGGAAGCCTGGGCCTCTCCACACTGGCGGGAGAAAGACTTGTTTTTCTCAACCCACGTTGCCAAGGATACGGCATCCAGTCCTCCGGATCTGAATGAAAGAGCCTGGTTTCCGGGGTTTTTTGTGCATTTCATAATTTAGAATGTGTTTGGCTTTCATTTGTAACCCAGCCTGCCAGCCCATCTCCCCACAGCTCTGCAAAGTTAACCAGTAATGAACATGAATAAATCAAACCTTCTCCACTCCAGCCGCCTCCTGGGGAAGAATTTGGGGTGTTGGGCAGATCAGAGGATTCTCCTGGTTGGGGGTTCTCGAGACCCACCCTGGGAGCGGCACCCAGGGAACTTGTACAAAATGCACACTAATGATCCCCGCTCACAGGGAGGGAGCCTGGGTGGACTTTGCAGACGTTCCCTGGTTGCCCTGGTGCACACTATGCCCAAGAACCTGGAGTCCATGCCCTCCTTCTGGTGAGGCGACTGAGGCCCCAGGAGAGGAAGAATGGTCTCCAGGAACAGCCCTGAAGGTCATTAGCAGCAGCCTCCGCAGTGCCATGGAGATGGGAGCAGAGGCCCCATCCTGGCTCTGCTGCCTGCCAGCTGTGTGACCTCAGGCAAGTTACTAAATTCTCTGTGGTCAACTTCCTTGGCTATAAAATGGGGAGAGTAACAGCTTGTCCTCTGGCAGGGTTACAGGAGATCACACACATATTTATCGGCACCTAGTGTCCAGTATTAACTTTTACAGTGTGTTTGTTGGTCCTGCTCATAATGAAACAAGTGGGGCCTTGGAGATGCCTCCCTGCCTCAGTTGGCCATCCAGAAGTTTCCAAGGGTGGTCATTTCCTGGTCCAACCCTGGCCTGGCCTGGCCTCTGGGTAGCAGTGAGCCATGCAAAGTACAACCCCAAGGTGCTGGGCACACAGGCCTCCCCACCTGTTTCTGAGCCTGGCGATGTGCCCATAGCTCCCCCTCTTTGGCCGTGTCATCTTTGCACCCAGAGCCCTGTTCTATACATCTCTGAAAACCCTGGGAGATTGTTCCCCATCTTGGAGACTGTATTAGTTTCCTGTAGCTGCTATAACAAAGCGTCATAAACTGGGGGTGGGGGTGAGGGGACTTATAAAAGCGGAAATGCATCCTCTCATAGTTCTAGAGACTACGAGTCCAAAGTCAACGTATCAGCTGGGTTGGTTCCTTCTAGCAGCTGTAAGGGAGAGTCCATTCCAGGCCTCTCTTAGCTTCTGGAGGTTGCTGGCAATCCTTGGTATTCCTTGAAGGAGCATCACTTCATGCTCTGGCTCTTTCCCTCACATGCCTGTGTCTTCTCTTCTGTTTCCTATAAGGACACTTATCATTGCATTTAGGGCTCACTCTGTTAATCCAGGACACTCTCATCTCGAGATCCTTCACTTAATTACCTCTGCAAAGATCCCTTTCCCAAAGAAGGTCATATTCCCAGGTTATGGGGGAGGTTAAAACTTGGATATATGGGGGCATCTGGGTGGCTCAGTTGGTTAAGCGTCCGACTTTGGCCCAGGTCATGATCTTGTGGTTTGTGGGTTCAAGCCCTGCGTCAGGCTCTGTGCTGACAGCTAGCTTGGAGCCTGGAGACTGCTTTAGATTCTGTGTCTCCCTCTCTCTCTGACCCTTCCCTGCTCATGCTGTCTCTATCTCAGAAATAAATAAAACATTAATTTTTTTTTTTAAAAACTTGGATATATCTTTTGGGGGCCCCAATTCACTGCACTACTGAGGGGATTTCAATTTCTGTATTTCCTTGATTCTAAGATTCTGTTTCCTCCCATATTTTAATGTTCCTGAAATCTGCATGTATCTCACGACCAATGATCATCTCTGATACAGTATTTTGCCTCCCCCGAGCTGTTATTAAATCAGTGGTGGTTGTGTCTTATTTATGATGACTTGATGAGGAGGAGGTGGGTAGTTCAAGACTCTGGTCAAAACAACCCCACGGGGCCTTCAGGCTGGGGACTCTTCTTGCTGGAGGCCAGCCCTGTCCCCTCTCCCTCTGCCACCTGCCAGCCAACATGGGGTACCCGGGGCTCCAGGTGGTCTGGGGCTCCTGACCAGCTCTCTCCTTTGGTGAGGCCAGGCTAGCTTTCTCACCACCCCTGGAGGGCTGTGGTTCTGTGACCTACACCCCACAAATGCGGCTCTCCAGGCCCAGAGAGGAGAGGATCAGCCTCTCCTTTGTTCATATCCAACTTTCCTCTCCCCCCAGGGCTCATTCCTGATCCTTTCAAGGTCAGCTATAAATGTTACCTCTTCAGAGAGGACCACCCTGTCTCAGGGAGTATCCCTTCCCTCCACCCTTTTCATCCCACCGCATGCACGCACATACACAGCTAGTCCCTCTTGATCATAACAGTGGTAAGCATTTTGTTAATTTTTTGCTTTATTTTGGTCAGTCTTCCCCCCTAGACTCTAGCTCCATGATGGCAGTGCCCCAAAGCCGCTCATTCACTCCAATTTCCACATTTCCAATTGGCCACCAAAAGCACCCAGCAAATGAGTGAAGGAACAAATGAACACGTGAATGAAGAATGAATGAATGAGTGGGTGAGTGACTTCCAACCACACCACACCCCCAGGAGAGATTTTTACAGCCCAAGACATTGAGCTCAGTGAGTTACGGCCGATGCAGGGAACACAGACAATTAGTGGGTCTCCAAAGTCCTCTATTAGCAAGAGACAAGTGCATTAGATATAGTTCGCTGTCAAGTCAGAGCTGGCCCCTGGTGCACAGAGGGTCCCAATCAGAAGCAGCTCAGGCTCAGTGCCCTGACACAGCTCTGCTCCTCAGGGTCCAGCCTGGGCATCCTACACAGGAAGGGGTAAGGCTCCCAGTGTGAGAGTCTCCTCGCAGACCTCTTTCTGCAGGAAGCAGGACTGACCCAGGACCCCCAGCACTGTGCTCTGAGACATGCTGCTCCCAGCTGGTGACTGAGGGTGACAGGGTGGGAGATAGGGGCTCCAGGCCTCCCCAACAACCTTTCCAAGACTCTAGGATGCTCCACCCCACATCCTATCCCCCATTCTTGCCTTCCCTCAGGATTCGCCCTACATCATGGACTTGAGGACCCCAGCTTTTCCTGAACTCCTCCCCAGTTTTTCCCACAAGTGTTTCTCCTAATAAAATTCTAACACGGGTCTTAGCATGCAATCTCGGGGCTGCAGAGGGTGTCCTATCTGCTTGTGAGGGGACCTGTAGGAATGAAGCTCCAAAACAGTCACTCTCCTGGGCAGTGAGGGCAATGATGGGGGGCCTCGGCAGGAGCCCCATGACGCTGCCAATGTGCTGGCGATCGGGTTGGGGTGCTGAAAGGGAGAACCTTGAAGAACGCGAGCATTTTCAATCGCCAGCATTCCAACTCAAACCGGCTCATGTATTAACCGAAAAGTCCAGGGAGGCCTCACTCCTGAGCGGGGAGAGCGCATGGTTCCAGCCTGTGGATCTACTTTGCCGCTCCTGGCTAGCCAAACAACAACTTCCCGCCCAGCCAGTCTATGGGAAAGCCCACCTGGAACGCTGTTTCTGATTGGCTAAGTTTGGGTCACATGCCCATTGCTGACCAATCACTTTGGTCAAGGAAATCAAGTGCTCTGATTGGCTAGGCCTTGACACTTGTCCAGGGCCTTGGCGCCAGAGAGAAGGGCAGTTCCGCGCGGGAGCGTATGAGTGCAGCTATTCTGCAAGCGGAGCTGAAGGGTGACGGACGGACAAGGGCAGCGCGCTGCCAACCCTGGCGGGGGGCGCCCCGCCCTCAGAAAGCTGGGTTGAGAGGACCCCAGGGCCCATGGGGGCATCCATTACTCAGAATCCGGGCTCACATAGGGACGGGACCAAAGACATCCCAGAACTTTCCGAAGCCTCATCTGTCCTACCTCCAAGGTCAGTGGGAAAACTGAAAGTGACGAGGATTGGGGTGGGGCAGACTGCTGCGGAGACAGGCTTGGTCTTCAGGACACAGGACAGGTGTGTGGTGTTAGCTTTAAGAAGGAAAGGAAAGGCGGAGTCCTGGGTCTGAGCAGCAAGGGGAGGCTGGGGCGGCCAGGAGCTTGAGCTGTGAACCTCCCGAGTGCATGCTTTGTATGTAAATGTCCACCGAAAAGAAGATCCTGTGAAGCAAGTAAATAAAAAAACCAGGAACAGAAGTTTGGCCAGCCAGGTTAATCTTGATAAATGGGTCTGTAGCCTCCGTCCCTCTTCCCCTCGGAATCCTCAACCACTTTTGATGCCTTTCACAGCTGGGCCCCCCGATATTTCCTGGTTTGGGACAATAGGGCATTTGGACTTTTTTAATGGCAGAATCTGGAAGCTAATTAGGCCATTACTCTTCAAAGATTTAATTTGCTTTGATGGGCCCATCTATAATCATATTTCCAAACAGCTTCTATTTAATTACTGCACAAAATGAATGAGGTCCTTGAGCAATTTGTGTCTGATAAACTCACCTCCTGTTTTAGTTCCAGAGACAAAGACACAAGGGGGAAGGGAGACATATGGATGAGGTGGGGTGGAGGCTGGCCCCTCAGTGGCCATTGTCTCTCCCCCTCGCCACCTCCCCCCTCCAGGAGAAGTGTTGTAGGGATCTTGTTTCAGAGCACTAAAACCACAGCAGGAACGACCCTGTGGGAAAGGTGGGGCCCCACTTCCCGCTGGAAGGGGGTCAGCAGAGGTCCGGGGGTAGACGCCCCAAGAGGGCAGGGATTTGATCTGCCTTCTTTTTTAAATATATAAAGCTCATTTATTTATTTTGAGAGAGAGTGTGTGTGTGCACATGTGTGTGAGGGGGAGGGGCAGAGAAAGAGGCAGAGAGAATGCCAAACAGGCTCCACACTGTCAGCACAGAGCCCAACTCAGGGCTCAGTCTCATGAACCGTAAGATCAGGACCTGAGCTGAAACCAAGAGTTGGGCACTCAACTGACTGAGCCCCCTGGGGCCCCTGTCATCTGGCTTCTTTACTGCCATAGTCCAAGTGCCTGAATGGGGCTGGACAGCTATAGGGGCTCAGTAAATACCTGCCAGGTGGGTGCATTGGGTGGGTTTGACTGAGTCTGTGTTCTTACTCCCTGAGGTGTGGGACAGAGGTATTCACGCTACCCTGGCCCTCTGCCATCTGATCACCTGATCAGCTAAGGAGTCTCTCTTGTAGCCACCAGGGCACCCGTTGTCAAACTACTCAGCCTTCATTCTCCCTTCCTCTGGGGATTGCACCCTTATTTTGTGGGGAACGCCCCCCTCTGGCTACCATTTCAACCCTGAGCTGCCTCAAGCCCCCTAATAGTGAGTGAGGCTTACTGTATTCAGAACTTTTTTCTGTTGCTGGCAATCCGATGTTTCTGACTGACACCAGAGCCACAGAGCTGCCCCTGTAAGGCAGATTCCCTGGCAGGGAGGGAATATCAGGGTTGCTCAGCATGGAATCCCCCTCTCCTTCCTGCCCTGACCACACTTGTTGCTCAGCTAATCTGGATCATATGTTTGGTTCAGGGATGCAGCCGTGAATAAGGTGGCAGGGAGAGAGATGATTAAATAAGCAATTACAGTACAGCCAGGTGGGTGTTCAGACAGGGCCCTGTGGGTGCACAGATGACGGGCATGTAACTCGGGGTGGTAGGGTGACTGGTCATTAATGAGGAGGGAGCAGGAGAGAATGGAGCTAGGGTGACCAGCTGTCCTGCTTTGCTGGGACTGTCCCAGTTTTAGCACGAAAAACCTCAAGTCCGATGAAGTCCCATGATGCCAGGAAACCTGGAGTGTTGGTTCCCCCCAAGATGAAGCACCCAGGGGACTGTGAATGGTTGGAGCAGAGAGTGTAGGACAAAGGACAGAGGGAAATTGAGAAGGGACAGGATCGTCAAGAGCCTTGCTATCCACGGAGTAAGGTGCAGATCTTAGCAAAGAGAAAGGGATAATCTGGGGACGTCTCATGCCGGAGCAAGACATGCCACGATGTGTGACGTTTCCAAAGCCTCCGCTGGCTGCTGTTTGAAGAATGGGGAGGGGGGAGATTATGGGGTCAGGCAGACCACCCTCGTCACACAGGTGCGCTGCGGGCAAGGCCCTGGGGGCCGTGGAGGTGAGTCAAGCAGTGATTCTGAGCCTTTTGGGGGAGAGTGGTGGTAACACTCTGAGACCCTGATGGGAGTTCTGGACACTCTCCCCCCCCAGAGATACACACAGCTACATGTACTCACATGTTCTTTCTCACGCACACTGTTGCAAATGGTTTAGGGGGTTTTACAGACCCCTCAGAACCACCATGGAGCCAAGATTCTAAACCCTCCTTTAGAACTGTGGGCGGCCGCATACTGTGTTGGCATTTGCCATTTCTTTGACAATCCCATATCACATCTCTCCTTCCTGTACCTGCCTCCTACTGTGAGGGCCAAAGATGCTGGACACGCCCCCAACTCCCCTCCCCCGCTCAGCAGGAGCAGGGGAAGATCACCAGTCTCATCCATCTGGCTCGGACTCTCCGTCTCATCCGCCCAGAGCTGTGGGACTATGCCTTATCTCTGGCCACCATCGTGTAGGGCCCTCTCCCAGGCTGCCAGGGTGGTCCCTGCTGCTATGACAAGTAGGTGGTGAGCCCAGGATTCGAACTTGGGTGAATCTGATGCCCAGCACTTCTTAATATCTCAGTGGCTGCAATGTGTGTGTAAGATTGAGAGAGAGAGAGAGGGTAGGGGGATGCCCAACACTCTCCTTTATATTTGAAGATGATATTACAGATGAAGGAGCAGCCTGCACATGACTGAAATACAAATGCGTAAGCAATTCTGTTCCATTCCAAACTCCACGGATGAAATTGTGCCGGCTGCAGTATGACGGATTCTTGGGGGGCAGCACAGCAGAAGCGCTCTCTCTTCTCCACGGGGAGTCCCAGTCTGTCTTTGACTTTACCACCCAGCATCCTGGCCCCCGGGAAAGAAAGTGCATACCAGATGTACACATGATGACGCTGTCTCCAGGAAGCAGGAAGCAGGAACCACTAGGAAAACAAGTAATAAATAACATGATTCAAGAAGAGGATTTCCCTGCCTTCTCTTCAACACAACACAAGGGGGCAGTGATTACTGATGGGGTTTTAAGGCCTCTGGAAAGGAGACACAGTGTATGGAGCTCCCAGGGAGGTAGGTATTGGGGGGATGTTGGTGTAGGCTAAAGGCGCCCCATGCTTGTTAGACACTGGGGGGTCTGAAAACAAATGTTAACTATAAATCCCACCAGTAGAAACCCCCTAAGGTAGGACTTGAAAGCACTTGGAATTTTCCCAGCCAGCAGCCAGCGGTCTGGCCTTCATCGGCAAAGGGCTCGTGTAGACTGCAGACGGGCCCTGTCTGTGCCGTGACATTGCCACCACCTCCGGTTCCAACCCACACACTGAGATGAGACGTGGCTGTTCTGGCCCCCTTCCCTAGCCTTTGAGCCGAGCCACTGGCCACCATCAAGTGTCCGAGACTTTCCAGGGACCCTCTGGCTTGTGCTTCACTGACCTAAGCAATGCCATCGGCTCAGACCCTGGCCAGGCTGCCCCACTCTCGTTCGGCCGCTTGCAGTTCATGAATTGGGAAACAAAGGCATCAATCCAGCCCACGTGGTCACCGAGGCCACAGACAGTGATTCAGGGCATAGTTGGAGGAGAAACAACTTCAGCCACAGGTCATGGTGAAGGGACACCCCAGCCAAGCCAGCCACCGCCTGTCCAGCCTGGAACAATCCCAGGAAAGAAACCAACTCTGCTGGACCCTACAAGGAGGAGTCGGCAGCCACTGGCTTGGGTGACACTGCCAGTCTGTCCCAGGCATTGGTCTGACCTCACCAGACCTCTCACTCCCTATTGTTCATGCCATCCATCCGCCTGGGCTGTTATGTGGGTTAGAAGAGAGATTCTTTTGGGGTGCCTGGTGGCTCAGTTGGTTAAGCATCCAACTTCAGCTCATGATCTCGCGGTCTGTAAGTTTTGAGCCCTGCGTCAGGCTCTGTGCTGACAGCTCAGAGACTATAGCCTACTTCAAATTCTGTCCCTTTCTCTCTCTGCCCCTCCCTCACTCATGCTCTGTCTCTCTCTGTCTCTCAAAAATGAATAAATGTTAAAAAAAATTCTTTTAAAGATACATTCTTTCACTCAGGCCACCATAACAAAATACCACAAACTGAGAGGCTTGAACAGAAAAAATATTCTATCACAGTCAGGAGGTCGGAAGTCCAGACGATTGGTTCCTTCTGAGGCCTCTCTCCACGGCTTATAGACGACTGTCTCCTCCCTGTGTCCTCACATGATCTCTGTGTGTCTGTGTCCTGATCTCTTGTTATAAGGGCACTGATCATAATGAATTAGAGCCCATCTTAATGACTCTATTTTAACGTAATCATCTCTTTAAAGACCCCATCTTTGTGGTGCTTGAGTGGCTCTGTCGATTGAACATCTAACTTCAGCTCGGGTCATGATCTCGCAGTTTGTGGGTTTGAGCCTCACGTCAGGCTCTATGCTGACAGTGTGGAGCCTGCTTGGGATTCTTTCTCTCCTCTCTCTCTCTCACCCTCTCTCTCTCTCTGCCCTTCTCCCACCTGTGTGCACTTTCTCTCTCTCTCTCTCTCTCAAAATAAATAAATTTAAAAATAAAAAAAGCAAAATATAAAATAAAGACCCTGTCTTCAAGTACAGTCACATTCTGAGGTCCTGGGGGATTAGGGCCTCAACATATAAGTTTGGGGGAGACATAATTCAGTCCATATCAAATGGACTGCCTAGGGACTGCCGGACATATTGAGGGTAGTTGGTAAGCAGGAAGGGGCATGACTCCTATCTTTAGGGCCGCTGAGAAGGCAGACAGAGACAGAGTCTAGGAAACACTGCAGAGTTCTGGCGTCTTTCCTCAGTCTGCCCTCCTCTCCACCAGGAAGCCATCCTGGGCTTCACAGTTAATTCTTCCAGAGAGGAGCTAGTTGAGTGTGTGAGCTTGGGCAACCCTAGGTCTCCCTAGAGCTTCTGATGATGGGCTCATGGGGCCTTGTGGTGGGAATCCCCGGCACTCCAGCCAACGGCCAGTGCCAATCGTGGAATGTCAGTGGAACCTCCAGCCCATAATGGGGTCGTGATTTCACAGCCTGCCTCTGTGCTCCTTCCCAGTTTGAATCCACTGGGTCATGGAACAGGGAGGCAATCAGTTTCTGCCCCTCAGATTTTCTTTTTCTGACCTGAACCTATTGGCAAGATTTCCTCCCAGGACACCCCCAGAGGCCCTCAGGACTGTTTAGCCAGGAAGGGCCCTACCCCAAAAGCAGGGGGCAGGCTCTCTGGGCTCCATTCAGGACCCAGCAGCCTGAGAGAAGGGTCAGAAGGAAGAGGTTTCCTTTCAAAGCAAGAAGATTTCCTAGCATCTCCTGGCCATCTCCAGTGGCCTCCCCTTCTCCCCACAGTTTTAAAAATATGTCCAAATCCAAGACAGGCTTTTCTAAGCTGGTTGTGTCAAAATGGGGTTCTTCTTGGTCTTCACTGGCCTTTCTTCCCACCACACATGGCTGTCCTTTCTTCCCTGAAACTTTGACGCATCATATCAATTGGAAGATCTTTTCCAAAACTGTCAGCAAATCAGAGAGAACCTTCTGCACCAAAAATACAACTAAGGCTTTTGTTTTGTTTTGTTTTTTTACATTTAAAAGTTGGATTGCAGTAGACTTACCCCCTGGAGGCCTGTGTGTATGGAAACAGTTGTTTTGAGTCCAGACGGTTTGGCTTGATGCAGTTTACAGGGTACAGCGCATGCTATCACCAGCATCTGTTCATTATGCACAGAGCTGAGTTCTTGCCCGACTCAGCCACACTTTGAGTAACGGAATTACTACTTTTTCCTGACCTGCCTGGTGAGTCTCAAAAGCTACAAGCAGCATTTGGGGTGAAGCTTCAGGACCTATTCGCACAGAATAGAATGAAGGCCATCCTCCTCCTCCAAATCTCTCCTTCCCCAAATCATGAGATTTCTCCAGAGGAGCCTTTGTGTTGTTGCCTACCCATCAAAGCTCCTTTCTTCTTTCCCTTGGAAATCTGATGAGATCAAAGTGTCAGCTTTCACCAGCAACAGCCTGAAGAAAGTGAGAAGGCAGATGGGCCTCGCCCACCTCCACGGCCCGAGCCATGCTGCCAATGCCTTTTGAAGGAAATGCTAGACTTCCCCGCCCCCCATGCACCTGGCTCCCCTACAAATTCATAAATGGCAATGCCTACAAGAAGTGGATGGTCTCCTCAAAGAATTAAAAATAGAGCTACCATATGATCCAGTAATTCCACTTCTGGGTATTTACCCAAAACACTTGAAAGCAGGGTCTCAAAGAGAAACTTGTACACCCATGTGCATAGCAACATTGTTCCCAAGAGCCAAAAGGTGGGAGCCACCCACACGTCCATCACCAGATGAAGGATAAACAGAATGTGGTCCATCCGTACAATGGAATAGTACTCGGCCTTAAAAAAGGAAGGAAATGCGGTCACATGCCACAACATGGGCGACCTTGAGGATGTTGTGCTAAGTGAAATAAGGCAGTCACAGAAAGGCAAATTCTGTATGATTCCAGTTACACGAGGTCCCTAGCGGAGTCAAATATAGACAGAAAGTACAGAAACCAGCAGTTTATCCTCTACCTCCCGACTCTCATTGGCCACAGGGCTGTTCTGTTGGCGCCCAGCACATGTGGATCTGGTCCTGCCCCAAAAGTGGACCAAGAGCAAGCCAACGGCAGAGTCAGAGGTGCTCAGGCCGGCTGACTCCCACATGACATGCACTGTGTGGCGTGAGGTTTCGAGGAGCCCCCGTGTACTAGCTCCTACCTTGGTTACGTGTGCAGTGAATGTTCTGAGGTGTGTAGGAAGGGTGGGAGGTGGGGGGAGGGGGACAGAAAACCTGCGAAGGTGGCAGTCCCCCAGTCATGGCTGAGTGGGAAAGGAGATCAGTAGGAGTAAGTAGGAGAGCGTGGGCCTGGAAACCAGCAAGCCTGGGTTCACATCCAGCATCCACATCCACAGGATGTAACAGGACATGGCTTCGAACCTTATCCCAAAATAAGAAATCCTACTGGATGGGGAGTGTGGTGGGAGCCCTGTGAGATTTCACAGGAGTCCGGGGAGTAGAACTACACCTGGTGACTCACTTCTGAAAAAAAAAATAGACCATGGCAAAAGTTATGAGCTGTCACTTCCAAGATTAGGATACAAAAGGACTGTGACTTCCACCTTGCTTGTCCACTTTTGTCTCTCCCCTCATTCCAAGGGAATCAAGCTGCCATCTTGTAAACTACCTTCTGGAAGGGACCACATGGCAAGGAACAGAGGGCAGCTCCTGGTTCAACATCCAGGAAGGAACTGAAGCCCTCAAAGAACCGAATCCTGCCAATAGCCAAGTGACTGGATGTGGAAGTGGACCTACCCCAGTTCAGCCTTTAAATGAGATCACAATCCCAGCCAACACCTTGATCACAGTGAGAGGTTATGAGCTGAGCTCTCCCAGCTAGGCTGTGCTCAGATTCCTGACCCACAGAAAAACATGAGATAATAAATGTGTATTGTTTTAACCCACTGCTCTTGGGGTAACTTGTTACAAAGCAATAGACAGCTAATAGAGGAGGTGCAAGGTTTGGTATGCAGTATTCTTTACAGATGGTGGTTCTTTTCTTTTTCTCTCTTCCTACCACAAATCTCTCTCTTGTAGCTCTACCAGCCTGCCGTGCTCATGCACCCAGAGGAAGATCTGCAGTGACCCCTCAGAACAATAGCATGTAGAGTGACCCTGAGTCATCCGGAGCAGGTCACGCTGTGCCAGCCTGTGGAAGACTGGGTGAGTAATGCCATTGTGAAGGTTTTCCCTGAAAAGGAAGTGAAATCATACTAAAAATAATAATCATTAAACGTTAATCCACTTAGTCAAAGAGAAAGAACTAGAATGCACCTCAGAGAACTTGAGTCCACCCCCTCACCATGCAAGTAGAGAAACTGAGGCCTGGAGAGTGAGAAAGAAGGTGATTTGAAGAGCAGAACCAGATAGTTGATCATGGAAAAGCAACACTTACCCGGGCATGTCTTGGTGAGCAGAGAACAGATTGCCTGTGATTGGGCTAAAACTCAAGATGTGATTCCTGGGGAAGCACAGCTGGGCCTCAGGGTACCACAGGCCTGCGGACATGAGTGCCTGAGATGAGAGGCTCCTTGAGAGTGAAAAGGAGCACCATTTACTTGAGCTCAAAAGGAGAACTGCCCATGTATGAGTGGGTGGCAGGCTGGAGGGGACATGAGTAAAGCCTCTGGAAAGCCAGAGGCTCCTGGACTCTCACAGACAACTGCCAGAAGAGAATGCAGTCGTGGGGGGAGGGGAGAAGAGGAGAGAGGGCTGGGAGAGGTGCTTCCTGGACCCCCTGGGCCTGGCTGGCCCTCAGGACACAGGTGAGCTCTTGGTCCATCTCCACCCATGTGCACAGGGCACTGAGGTCCCGGCCAGCCCTGGGAGGCCTTCCGTGGGACCAGGACCCATCCTGGGGAGCACAAGGGGTCCTGAGATGGCTCCAAACTAAAGCTGCTTGGGAGCAAGTGGGGATGAGGTCTGGATACCGATAGCTCCCCAGCACCTCCAGGTGAAGCCTGTGCTCCTCGCCTCTGAACCTGTCCCACCTTCCCCTGGCCCCACACCCCCTGCTTTTTTTTTTTTTTTTTTTTTTTTTTACAAATAGTTTATTGTCAAATTAGTTTCCACATAACACTCAGTGCTCATCCCCACTAGTGTCCTCCTCCATGCCCGCCCCCCCTCCCCCCCACATCCATCAGTCCTCAGTTTTTGTCAGCATTCAAGAGTCTCTCATGGTTTGCCTCTCTCCCTTTCCCCCACCATTTCCCCCCTTTTCTCCCCCTTGGTCCTCTGTCAAGTTCCTCCTAATCCTCCTATACGTGCACACATATGATATTTGTCCTTCTCTGCCTGACTTATTTCGCTCAGCATAACACCCTCAAGGTCCATCCATGGCCAGATTTCATTGTTTCTCATTGCCATGTAGTATTCCATGGTATAGATAAACCACACCTTCTTGATCCATTCATCTGTTGATGGACACTTAGGCTCTTTCCATGTTTTAGCTATTGTGGAGAGTGCTGCTATGAACATTGGGGTACATGTGCTCCTGTGCATCAGCATTTATGTATCCCTTGGGTAAATTCCTAGCAGTGCTATTGCTGGCCCACACCCCCTGCTTTAATGGAACATGCCAGGGTCCCGCCACTGGGGAAAACAGAAAGGTATCTCCTCCCAAAGTTAGGCTTGGAATTACCATATGACCCAACACTTCCACCCTATATATATACCCAAAAGGACTGAAATCAAGGAGTTGAAGAAATACTTGCTCATAGCACTGCTATTCACACGCACCAACAGGAGAAAGCAAACAGATGTCCATCAGTGGACCAGTGGATCCGCAGAACGTGGTGTATCACAGAGAATAGAACATCATTCAGCCTGAAAAAGGAAGGAAACTTGGACATGTGTCACAGCATGGATGAACCTTGAGGACACGATGCTCAACGGAACAAGCCAATCACAGAAAGAAAAGCATTGTCTGGTTGCGCTTGTATGAGGCCCCTAGAGCTGCCAAACACAGATGGAAAGTCGATGGAGGTTGCTCGGGGCTGAGGGTGAGGGAATGGAGTGTTAGAGTTTCATAGGTGTAATAGTTTAATAGTTCACTTTGGGGAAGACAGAAAAGTTCTGGAATTGGCTGGTGGTGAGGATAGCACAACAGTGTGAATGTCCTTAATGCCACTAAACTGTGCACCTAAAAATGGTTAAGATGGTCGATTTTATGTGTATTGTACCACAGTAAAAGTGAATACATTAAACAACTCTGTAGTGATAAAGGGGCTTTGCTGTCTCCAGGATGGACAAGATCATGTACTGAGCCCCCTCTCTGTGTCCAGGCAAACCCAGGACCGGTTGTCTCAGGTGTCCTCATGCTGAGACAGCCCACCCTGGGGTCTGGAGAAAGACCCATTTTGTCTCAGTAGACCACCAGACAGAGGTAGCCCTGGGCACCCATTGCATGAAATTATGTCCAGAGCTATGGGCCCTAGGGAGGCATCAAGGCCGATGCCACACAGGAAGGCCAGATCGCTGCACCCATTCTTTATGTCCAGCTGTGTCAGAGGCTTGCGGAGGGTGTGAGCCACACAGACTAGTCACTGCACCTGTAGGGACAGAGGTGGGCAGGGCAGGGGACACTGGGTCTGTGTTGAGGGCCATGAGGGAAGGTCAGGACAGCTCTGTGTCCATGGAGCCTTTGTAAGGCCATGAGCTGCAGCTCAAGCCTGTCCCTGGTCCTCTGCCTCCTCTGTACAATGATAGTGGAATGGTCCCTAAGGACTATCCCAGGACAGTGACTGGCTGCAGTTCCATTTGAGGGCTACACATGGCATGAATGGGTCCCACTCGTGTAGAACATCACAGCTGGAGCAGAGTAGCAGACACCTTTGCTGTCGCCTGGCCAGTGGTTCCTAGTGACCTGGAGAGCTTATCAAATTAGAAGTGCCCCATCCTGCCCCCTGAGAGTCAGCGTTGGGGGCTGTGGGCTCTTCGATAATTGGGATATACCACCCCAACACTTCTGAGCCCGGGGGGGACTCCCACCATTCACTTCACAGATGAGACCCAGGGAAAGATGAAAAATGGCACGAAGATAGGTTTTCTCAAAATGAATAATCTGGAGAAGGCAAGTCCTATTCCTTCCATTTTGGGGGATCCAGCCAGACAAGACCAGGCAGGAAGTGGAGGAAGAGAGCCATCTCTGTCCTCTGTAGCATCCTCGTTGCCATGACAACAGCAGCCATGCTCTCTAGAGTGTTCCAGGTGCTGATACTTTACATGGGCTTTCTAATACCTCAAGACACTCTTTCAAGGGAGTTGCTACTCTCCCCACTTTATGAATGAGAAAATTGCGGTTCAGAATGGTTGGGAGACTGGCTTAGGGCCACACAGCAGAGGTAAGGCCAAGATTTGAACCTGCACTAATCCCTCCTACATCACACAGCCCCCGGGGTCCAGAACTGTAGTGACACCCTGAGCGTGGGGGATGACTGGAGTGGAGGAGCACCTCCGTCCCCTCAATATTGTGGCAGATCCCCAGGGCCAGATCCTCAGCACTGGGCTCAGGCCCAGGAGGCGCCCCTGCCCCAGAGGCCAGCTCCTGTGGAACTCCCCCAGCAGCATCCCAGCGCTGTGCTGTCCTTCGACTCTTCCCAGCGAGTGCAGCGGCGACATTCCCAGAGCAGGGCCAGAGCAATGGGCGTGTTCCCTCAGCTGCCCCTCAGCTGCCCCTGCACTGCCTTCCCTGTTCCCAGCAAGCGGGGCTCCGCTCCCCGCCCCCCCCACATACACCCAGAGGCTCAGTTGTACTCACACATGTAGGCCAGTTTCCAACCCTCTCTGGAAGGTGCTGATAGCTCACAGCAGGCTCGGTTTGAATCAGGTTGCTGTTGGTGTTATTGTTTTGGGAGAAATGTTCACTTCCAGCCCCCACTCTGCATGAACAGACCAGGGCTCGTATCCAGGACTGAGTGCCAGCCGATCCCAGAGGGGTGGCGGGCATGAACTCCACTGCAGGGGTCAGGCTCGAGCCTGACCTGACAGGGGACTCCAGGGACGGGCTGGTGGGAACTGTATTCAGGTGGGGGGGGAGGGGGCACAGGCAGAGCTTCCGCAGGAGAAGTGGACAGGCAGGCTTGCCCAGGGGCAAGATTTGGAAATTGCAGCAGCTGGCCCAGGGTCCAGGCTTACGTCCCTATGTGCCCAGGCCCAGGGCATGAGTCCTTCAGGGCCGCAGGCCAGGCAGTACCAGCCCCGGAAGGAAAGACCGGCCTGCAAATTCTGCTTGCCCTGAGCACCAGCCACAGGCTCCAGGGCCAGAGGCCAACAGTAAGAGAGGACAAAGTTCTATTGTGCCTCCTGCAAGGATTGCTTCTCCCCTCCTGCGTCCCCTCCAGCCCTCTCCGGGACTCACCCTCGGGCCCTCCGCTCCACGCCTGTCCTGGTCTGTGTCTTGGCATGCAGCTATCTGTGTGCGTCGTCCTGGGAGCAGCGACTGTCTGGTGGCGCCTCCTGGACACACAGCTGGGCTGCACTTCCCAGCCCCCCCACCCCCTATGAGCCTGGCCTGTCAAACCCTCCTCCCTCCCTCCTTCCCTGGATCCCAGGTCCCTGGGGAAGAGCAGGGTCCCTTGCTGGAAGGAGCCTGGACCCCCAGATGACCGTGGAGCTGAGCCGCCGCAGAGCCTGCATCAGGCTCAGGCGTGAGGGACGAGTAGATATCTACCGTGGGAAGTCACTGAGCCGTGCTGTGTTGGTTTTTTTTTTTTTTTTAATGTTTATTTATTTTTGAGAGAGTGAGGGAGAGAGAGAGAGCGGGAAAGAGGCAGAGAGAGAAGGAGGCAGAATCCAAAGCAGGCTCCAGGCTCCAAGCTGTCGATACAGAGCCAGACGCGGGGCTGCAACTCACAAACTGTGAGATCGTGACCTGAGCCAAAGTCAGACGCTTAACCAACTGAGCCCCCCAAGCACCCTGACATGCTATGGTTTGTTAGCTTGCTGGAGCCCCCAGGGCCAGGACAAGGCAGCTAGAACGAGGGCCCCCCAGGGCAGTGGCAGCTTCCTGTGGCTTCACAAGCATCAGAGGCCTCCGCCCAAGAAGGAGAGAGACAGCACCTGCTTCATTATGGGGGTACCTGAGAAGTCCCAGAGCCACCAGTAATCTTAGTGGGGGGGTCCCCACAGTACAAGTGAGGCAGGGGACTTGCAAATAGCAGCAGCAGTGGCCAGGGCTCTCTCTGAGCAACTAGCCACAGCCCTGGGGGACTGGGAGCCTGAGAGGTGATGTTCCCCCATCATCCCCAACCCTGTCTGTCCTCTGAATGCTATGGAGAAAATGGCCACTGGGCCCCCCCAAATTCTCTGTGAAGATGCAGCAGAGTCTAGCACTAGGACTTCCAGGTGATTCATAACCAGACCACCCTGGACGCTAACTCTTGACTTGGCGTCCATCTCCACGTGGCTTTACTCGGCGTCTGTGTGTGAGCGCATACATCCGACCTCTTCTCTTGTAAGCACACGGCTCACTGAGTCAGGAGTTAAATCACCGCCCCGCTGCGCCAGCCTGTGGATGGGATGGATGGCCCGGTGAACCACGGCCTCCCAGGATTCACCCCCTCCCATGGTCCTTCCTCCCGTTGGAGCAGACCCCGTGACTAGAATGTGCCACGCCCAGGCCTGGCCTGCTGGAGGGCTGTCGGCTTCCGCTGCCCCCCTCCTGCTCCTGCACCTCTGGGAGCTCTGTGCTCCCCTCTACAAAGTCCCGGGCCCTTCCGGGAAGATGAGCCAGAGAGGCAGTCTCCTGTACCGCGCGGAGCAGGGAGAAGCCCGGCGGCCTCATGGTCCAGTGGAGCCCTCGACGACACCAGCCCAGCCTCTCTCTCTGGAGGCTTTCAGGGGGATCAGAAGAACTGCCCTGCTGAGCCCCGCAGGCCCGCAGGCCCGCAGGCCCGCAGGCCCGCAGGCCCGGGAGAGGGAACAGAGTGGCTGTTTGGGAGCAGTCTGGGACTGGCAGTGGAGAAATGCAGTGACAAGAATCACACTCCGCCTCCTTTGGGGCTGGAAGCTGCAAAAATCCTTTGTGAAACCTCAGTGGGAAAGGACCCCAAGAAGCACATGTTTGTGTGTCTAGTGAGAGCAAGGCACTGGTGTGGGGGGCTCTTTGGGGAGGCCCCCTTTCCCAACCATCTCTACTCCACTGTCCATTCTTTGATATTTGGAACTAAGAATTGTGGAATTGTCAGAAACAGTAGGGCCCGAAAAGGCTCAAGCTTAGGGGCCCTGGGATGGCCCCATAGGTGGCCCTTCTGATGAGGGTCGCCAGGCACACCGGGCTGTGTGGGGACAATAAGCCTTCTCCAAGGAGGGCTAGCACCCCCTGTAAGAGCCACAATGTCACAGAGAAGCCACTTAGCCCAATCACCCAGGTCTAGGGAGAGCAACGGAACATGGAGGAGGAAGGGCCACAGGCAAGGACAGAGTTCACATCTGCACTGAGGGGAAGTGGTCCCTCCAAACCCAGCAGGCACCTGCTCCCAGGAGGGTTGGAGAGTCCTGCAGCTGGACCCAGCCCTCCATTGTAGACAGGGCCCAGAGAGGGCAAATCCTGCCCAAGTTTGTGCACAGCAAGGCAGTGGCCTGGTTTGGCCTGCTTCTCGGTCCTGTTCTCATCCAGGGCTCCTTCTAAGTGCCCGCATCCCTGCTGAGGTTGTCTGGGCCAGAGCAGTGGTCCTCTGGGGCACAGCACTCCAGGCTGAACCCTGGGTGGGTAGGGAGAGAGAGAGAGAGAGGCAGGAGAGCCACCCCCACGCAACATCCTGTCCCCTCTGGCTGCAAGCACCGCTGGACAAGGGCTGACTGGCTGTCACGATTGTCATCTGCCCTGGCAACAAGCCAAGGCTGTTACTGCGAGTGCCATTGCCATGGAAACCATGAGTCAGGGCCGTACTTAACAGAGCCAAACTTGCCAGGGGTTCTCAGGGCCTCTCGTCTGCCAACGGGAAAGGCGACACCAGCACGGGGCATCTCCTTGGGACTCATTACCAGGCCGGAGTGGGGGCGACAGGCAGGGGGCAGGTGGGGAGGCAAGGAGAGGGAAAGAGGTGGGGGGTGGGTAGAGGAACCACGTAGTCCTGGGACCAGCTTAGAGCCTGCGAGCTCAGACCACAAAGACCAAGGGGTGTCTCCCAAGTGGCCCGATCTGCCACTTACCAAACCCAAGAGGCCAAATTCCCAGAGCCTAGGGCTGGGCCCCCCAGCAATAGGGAATCGGGGTGCCTCT